AATTATTTTTTGAACGCTTATGTAAATTGAAATTGATTGCATAAATTCATAACACTAAACTATAACAATATTTGATAGAAATATTGTTTATGGGAAAATGAATTGTGGCCCTAAAACAGTGGCCCTAATGGCCCTAATTTCCGTTTTTGGATAAGTTTGTTTTTTTTTTCTTTTTTTTTTTGCCTTGTTTTTTTTTTTTTGCCTTATATGGAAATTTAGGGACATTCAGGCCCCTAAATTTCGAGCTACCAACCAAATCCATTGTTTATGTTGGTCATTGACTCACTTAGGTATGACATAGTTGTTATCTTAAAAATATTTGTCAGTTGCACATTTTAAATTTATAAGAATTCTTTATTTCATAATACAAGATGACTATAGTAAATTAATTAAATTATACAGTTCTGTGTATAGCGCAGGTTGCCAATAGTAATAAATTACACCAAATAAGACATATGTATCTTATTCAAAATTAATCACCTTGCTTATTTTCACTTTTCAAAAAATACTTTTCAGAAAATTCTACTTTCTTATTTTTCGTGTTTTTTTGTTTTTACTAAATTTTTTTAATATTTTAAGCAATTTTTTTAACTTTTTAGACACACTTAACATAAATACATATAAAAAGTAACAAAAAGGTAAAAAAAATATTTTAAAAATTTATTAAATACCAAAAATATAAAAAAATACAAGAATTCAGTACATTTTTTATATTTTTATGTATTTATTAATTTTTTAAAATATTTTTTCACAATTTTTTTGTTTTTTAGATACATCTAAGTAAGGTGCATCTAAAAAAATAAAAAAAATGTTTAAAATTTAAAAAATATTCACTAAAAACCAAAAAATATGAAAACCAAAAAAAGTCAATTTTCAAAACTTAATTCAAAAAACTCAAACCAAACACACTGAATATTATCTGTAATAAAAATTTGTATGTGTTAATTTGTTATGATGAATCAAAAAATCTGAATATTAGTTCAGTTTGGCATGTAAAAATATAAAGTTTTGTACTCCCTCCTCTCCAAAATAATAGTTTTTTTTGAGAAATTTAACTTTTTTTTATAGTATAATTATTATATTTTAAAAATATTAATTTTTCAAAACTACCCCTCGATAGTATATTTTTTTGGGAATATCAATTGTCATAATTATATTTTTTGTGTTATTAATGAATTTGAAAGAAGGACAAAATAGTAAATTCATATTATTCTATTCTTTGATTTTTGAAAAGGTACTAATATTTTGGATCAATGAAAATGAAATAAGAAATTAGTATTTTGGGATGGATGGAGTATAATTTATTCAAAAAAATATTTTAAAAAATATAATCTAATAATAACTATAAAATATTAATTGTAGTGCTTATTTTTAAAAATGTTAAAAATTGAAAATACCAAATTGTCATCTAAACTTAAATAAAATAAAATCAAAAATTTGATATCTCCAAATTTAAAACTGAGCACTCATACAATAAGTCCATTTGTTAATCTTTTCGGTCATTAGGTCTAAATTTTAATCTCTATGGGCCAAAATGATATTATTTGTCCAAAAGAACAACTATCTGTTGAAATCAACCTATTTGTCTATCTATTGAAATTACTTAATTTGTCTATCTGTTGAAATTTATCAAGCCTATTTTTCTATTTGTTAAAATTCATCAAATTACTTATATGTTGAAATGTGACACATATTATTCGTTTAACAACATATCTGTTGACTATCACACATTTCTCTACCTCACCGTCACTGCCACTTACTGCCGCCGACCATTGGTCAGCACTGCTGGTGAATTTTTCAATACCAACAAATTTTTCAACATATCTTTATCACTAAATAAAGGGCAAATTACATATACCTCCCTCAAGGTTTAGCTAAATTACAAATACCTCCTGAGGTTTCGGAAATTATAGATACTCCCCTGAGGTTTATATTTTCATAACAGTTTGCCTCTTAATTTGTTATGCAAATAGTACCTTCAAGGAAGTATCTATAATTTCTCAAATTTCAAAAAGTATCTGTAATTTTATTAAATCTCGAGAGGTATATACAATTTGCCCCTAAATAAAATGTTACTTTAAAATAACTTATACCTTCTTTGAATTTGACTTTTACCAATTCTCTCTTTAAAATTTAGTTGATTACATTTCGTATGTTTATCCACCGAAGTGGGTTGGAGTATCATTCTGTCAACCACTAGTGACACTGCCAAAATTTAGCTTGGCAAAGACAAAAGAAAGAGTAATAGATTACCAAATTACCTTGTAAATCTCCTGATATCGCACTTCATTGCATCTTTTGCACCACAATTTTATGTGTTAATATTATATAAATTTTAATGAGTTTCATCATGTATTCTCAAATCAAATCTTTAATTCAAACACAATCTTGTAAAAACTTTTAATAATATAACAAAGACCATTTTTCATACCTTATTTAGTGGGCGCTTGGGGTGCCTTTTGTGGTTTATTATTATTATTTTTTGCTTTTTTATAAGTTAAAAAACTTAATGTATTTGAAAAGTTTCTAATTTTTTTTTTGTGAGTAAATAATTAATATAATATTTACCTTTTTTTTAACTTGTGACAAATGATTTAGACCTATTTTGAAAAGTGGGTTAAAAGTCACTTTATAGCTTTTAACTCATTTCTCTCTCACAAAAAAGTCAAAAAACAGCTTTTGACTTTTTACTCAAAACATTCCCTCAGTGACTTTTTAACCTTTTAGAATAAATTGACATTTTTAACTTTTTGCTGAATGCTTTCTTAATTTACCATATGAATTGTTATTGTATTGATAATGAAAATAATAATAAGATAGTTTATCCCACAAAACTAATTGCAACAAAAAATACCCCCTCATGTGCTATATCTTTTTCTATGGGGACCTTTATGACAGAAAATATCATTTTAATTATATGATAAATTACACTTTAGCATTATTACCACATAACATCTCAAATATTATAAGGTGTCTAAATTAATATTTTTCTTCTTTTTTATTTTCTATTTCTTTTACTAAAGGTAGTAACAAGGGTAACCATAGTGCAAGTAGCTGTGACAGTTGACGTGGGTAGGCCAAATTAGAGAAAGAAAAAGAAAATAATAAGATATTTTTAAGCAATTTACTAACCTAAGAGTGTTTGGCAATTTAGTAAATGCTTAGGGGTTAAGACTTTAGGTCTCAAGTTCAAAACTTCTTAGGTCAATTTCCTAAGCATAGTGCAGTTGATTAGGAGGTTAGCCTCAAGTTATTACTATCATAGCACTTGGTGTGAGTTCAATGCTAGGTTGGGTTGGGAATACTTTCTTGCTGGGTTCAATACTTTCCCGCTGCGCGAGTCTTGACTTAACTTGGGAGGTTGGGTTGGGAATACTTTCCCGCTGCGCGAGTCTTGACTTAACTTGGGAGGTTGGGTTGGAAAGTCGGAGTAAGTTCCCAGATTATAGTCTCCTTACTCAGAACGGACAACACGATACCTTGGTAATCACCACCAACATTGTCACTACTAGCCTCCATTTGTTGTCGACCACTTTTTTGACATCGATAGTTTTCTTCAACAAGTCCACAGTGGAGATACAATTGAAAAAAAAAATTGAAAAAAACAATTTATTCTTTACACAAAATAATTTTATTAAATATGGTCTTTATCATGAAAATAATTCAAATACTATACTAAATAACTTACCGGTCAGATAGTGTGCTAATTATCCAAAACTTTACTACTAAGAGCATCTCCATCACATTAATTAAAATTTTATTATATTTTTGACTTAAAAATTACTTCTTTTTTGTTTTTTATATATATTTTGATTATATACATTTTTAAATATATTGTCCAACAAATTTTCAATTCATTTTAATTATAATTAATTTTTATAAACTCAACACAACTAATTTCAAAATATGAAAAACCACTATTTGTTAATGTTTAACCAGGTGAAACCACTATGTACCTTTGTTAAGTCAAGACCATCAAAATTAAAATGATTAACTTGATAGTTAGTTTGATGACAGTGAAACTTAGTGACTTATTACTATTTTAACTAAATAATGAAAGTAACTAGTTTGATAAAAATGTTCTAATGACCATACTATTAGGGATTGTTTGAAATAATTTAAATAAGTGTATTTTTTAATTTTTTATAAAAAAAAATATACATAAAAATAGAGAGATAATGTGACTTAAAAAAAGTGTGTTATTTTAATTCATACCAACTCTTAGCCTGTGTTTGGTTAGGAGATTTAGGGGTTGTTTGGGATGACCTAAATAATTGTAATTTTTGTCTTTTTACGAAAAGATGTGCAGAAAAGTAGAAAGGTGATGTGATGAAAAAAAGATAAAAAGATAAAAAAATGAATTATTTGAGATATGCCAAACTTGGCCTTAAAGTGAGATTTAGAAAGGGAAAAAAAAAAAATATTCCTTCTGTTCCAAATATTAGTCCCTTCTTCTATTTTTAATTGTCCTAAAATATTAGTCCTTTTAAAAAAATTAAGGACAAAAATAATATAAATTTCATATTTTGTCATTCTTTTAAATTCATTAACAACATAAAAAATACAATTATGGCAATGAATATTCCCTAAAAAATGTATTATTAAAGGGTAATTTTGAAAAATTAATTTTTTTAAAGTGCAATAATTGTACTACCAAAACAAGTTAAATTTTCCAAAAAGGATTATTATTTTGGGACGGAAGGAATATGTAAAATTAAGTAAAACATAAATGGTTGTTTGGCATGTGCTATTTTAACCCATTATCTTATTTAAGTCACATCATCTCTTTATTACATCACTTTAAATCTAACTTATATTTTATATTTTTTCATAAAAATTTAAAAAATATACTAATCTAACACTTTTCAAATATATTTTATTCATATTTTTATCTATTTTTTTTTCTTTCCGTTTTTAAATAAATTCTGGAAACTTTAATTTGGAATAAAGTAGGAATTTCCTGTTATAAGGTTCATTTTGTCGGGACTCGGGACTCGAGTGAGTCATACATGTTCCAAAGCAAAGCAAGCAAGCAAGCTCTCCATCTGAGGAGTCACACTTGCGAGTCTTGTTCCTACTTTTCCCGGCCAAATCTCCGATCAGGTACTTCCACCATTATCTCCACCACCTTCTCATCCTTCTCGTTCGACTTCCTCACTCGATTCAATCGCTATTTTGGAGTAATGTAAGAATCACAGTTGCAATTTCTAGGGTTTCAATCTCTCTTTTCGTTATTACATCGAAATTAAGCGCACACAGACAAAAATGATTTCTTTAATATGCTATACAGCGACTCAGCATCGATCGTGAGCGTAGATCCAGCGTCACGACTTTCCTGCATCTGGTGACTCTCTCTTCTTCCATTTATTTAACACATTTTAATTTTAATGGAAGCATCTTTGCTGTAATTTCTGTGCCCTAATTGCTTTTTTGTTTCATTACTATTAAATCCATTATTTATTTATTTTTTTTTTGGCTTTGTAATCCATTATATTCTTATTGTGTTGTTCTTGTTTGGCCTATTTGTTGTCTTTCAGAGCTTTTGTTCAATATTTTCTATTGTACTGTGTTTGTGTACTCTTTGAGGAATACATATATATATATATATTTTGATAACCGGGTGTCCAGGCCAGCTTACGCTCACCTAGACTAATCCTGGGGCCTTGAAGTTAATGATCGGGCAAACCTCCAATGGCCCCAAGGTTTGGGATGTTTGGCTTTAGTGAGATTCAAACCTGCAAGCTCTTGGCTGGGAAGCCCTTTGGTTGCCTTCTTCTCCCACTAAACCAAACCCCTTGGACTTCTCTTTGAGGAATATGAATATAACATATCCTTCCTCTCTGTTTCGATGTCCCTGGAAACATATGGGATGCAGATATACATGGGGTTTTATTTAGTAATGTTTATTATTATTACCTTTTTAGTTTGTTCATTTTTGTGTCTCTGGGTTGAATTTACGTGGATTATGGATTGGAATCTGATTGATTATATAACAGAATTTTAATTCCTATTTTAATTTATGTAACTAAATTTTAATGACTATATGCAAGTAAACTTTGTGTGGGTATGAGCAAATAAAAAAATTGTGGGTACTTGTCATTTTACCTACATAGGAGTTTTCTGCTTCTAAGACCCATATTCAAACTTGTTTCCATTGTTTTTTTCTTGTAGCTTTTAAGATGTGAATCTCTATTGACAACGGAACATAAAAGAAAGTGGAATTCATCCCTGAAGAAATTGTATGAGACTTTATGAAATGACACTGTTCTGTATTTTAACTATCATTTGTATCAATGCTAGGGTTTATATGGATTTATAGTAATGGCCTTATTTATGGATGGATTTATGCATTGAATATATGTAAAACCGGATGAAGTAGTTTAATGAAACTGCTAATCATAAGACAGTTAAAATGCCCATTTAAGGGTAATTGGATTTTGGAGAGAACATTTAGCATAACTTCGTCACCTTTCACGAAAGGACTTGTTCTCATAGACATTGCCTTAGATTTTGCCAAGCTTCATTTTGACACCTGGATAAAATGAATGAGTTGAGTTCCCATGAAGTATAAATGAGCTTCTTTATTTATTTATTTAATTTAATGAGTTTTAATAAATCTTTAATTTTGTTTTTAGTAATAAGCATAACTTATAAAAATAGCAGTTAAGATGAGTTTGTGAAATATGAATATACATATATTTGTTTCCTGAAGCTATTGAGTTTTAGAAAATATAAATGGCAAGAATCTGATGGTTTTATTTGTTGTCTTGTTTTATAGGTTTGAAGGTTATTATTATGTTCGCTAGATATATCCCATGGCTGACGTACAATTGTTGTAGGTAGGCTGATCATATACATCCCTTGTTCTTTAATTACGGTTGTTATATATTTAAGTGCCTTGTTGTTGGTATCTAGTGTTATTGGTATCTAGTGTTACTTTTCTGTCAAAGTTTCAGATCTTCACTGTTATATGTGAAGCATTATAGGTCCCAAAAAGTTATCTACCTCTAGCATATTTGAACTATAAAATTTATATTGTCCGTCACAGTGTTTTAAAAAGCGCGCTTAGGCGCGCGCCTAAGCCCAAGGCGAGGCAAGGCGCAGCTTTGCGCCCCAGTCATGGTGAGGCGAGGCGACACAGGTGAAGCGCTGCCTAGGCGATGAGGCGAGCGCCTTATTATGAAGCGCAAGGCGAGCGCCTTGTGCGCCTTCTCTGCTTCTTCTCCTCTCTCTGCTTCTGCTTCGTTTCTGCTTCCCTTCGTCTTCTCTTCCCTCCGTTTCTACTTCGTCTCTCTCTTTTGCTTCGTTTCTGTTTCACGATCGCGAGCTCTTTCTCTCTCGCCTACTCTCTCGCGATCGCGATCTCTCTCTCCTGTCTCGATCGCGATCTCTCTCTCCTGTCTCGTTCACGGTCACCCTCTCTCTCTCTCTCTCTCTCTTGCGATCTATCTCTCTTCTCTCTCTCCCTTTTTCTTCTTAACTCATATATATATATATATAATATTATATAATACCTATTATATAATATATAATATATAATATACAATATAATTATAATATATAAAATATAATTGATATATATATATATATATATAATATTATACCATACCTATTATATAATATATAATATACTTATAGATAATATGTAAAATAAAATACATTAATTATTTAAAAATAAACACATGTATATAAAATAAAATAAAAAAATTAATTAAAACACATTATTTAAAATATATAATAAATAAATAAAATAATATATATATATTAAAAAATTAATTAATATTTTTTTCTTATTAAAAAAATTAATAATATACATATTAAATATTTGTTTATATTAAAAATTGTGCTTTATTAATATTTTGCTTAACTTCTATAACTTGCGCCTCGCTTTGGTGAGGCACGCGCGTCGCCTCGCGCCTCGGGGCTTAGGCTCCAAGTGACCTTGGCGCCTCGATGCGCCTAGGGCTTTTTAAAACACTGGTCCATTAGTGCTATTTCATTTCATTGGAAGGGGATATGGTCTTCTTGGTTGTGGATTCTATATGGACATTGGTACTCAAAAAATATCTTCACTTTGGATAATTTGAGATGGTGTATGCATATTTTAGTTAAGTTGTGTTTATGAGCAAAGAAGACGATCAAGAGGTTAATGATCTTCTCATTCATTATTGGGTGGTCAGGGACTGTGGGTCATGATTTAGGGCTGTTCGGTATTATTGTTTCTCTGTGCTGTACGGATAGGCTTTAGAATTCTTGGTACAGTATTAGTGTTGGAAGATCGAAGGAGGGCGTGTAGAGCTGCCCTTTTGTGTTTGGTGTGGACGGGTTGGGGTGTGCACAACCAACGATTGTTTTCTGGAGCAGAGACGCCCTTTTATAAGATTATAAGTAGATTCTTGGGCTTTTTATATAGTTGGGTGTTGAGTATTGTTAATCTGGTTGTTGAGCATTTTCTGACTTCGTAGAGAATTTTGATTTGGGTTTGGTTGGGTAGTCATGTGAATGTTTATGTGCGGTGGCATCCCTTTAAAACTTTGTTTCTAATGAAGAAATTCACTCGTAGCTGCATGTATATATGGGTTCTGTGACTTCATGTAAATAATGGTAGTTTGAGGTTTATGTAGTTAGCCCCTCTCAGGTTTCCAACACCCTTCCATTGGTTGGATGATGCAGGGGATGGAAAGAAAAGGCGCAAATCTGAATTTTCATTTGCGGCATCATTTTGGCGTTGTATAGTAATGTTAGGGTCAATTTGAGTCTTGTTTTATGTATTTTATAGGTTAGAATGTTGTTGAACATGTTGGTGGCTTTAAATAAGGTTTTAGTAGTTAAAGGCATTTTCGTAATTTTAAAAATTGCAGGATATATGTTCTATGGGTTGCCAAAATGAGTTGTGTTGGTCAAATTATGTTATTGGATCTTATATGGAGTCTTCATTTTGTTAGAATATCTTAGCTGGTCCCAAAAATTGTAATTTCTTAATTTTGGAGTAATATTTCTAGTAGAATTATGAGAACCAACTATGAACAACCTATAAATTGCTACTTGTTGGATGTTTAAAATTTTGAGAATTTATGTGAAGTTTTTAAATTATCCTGTGATGTTTTTTGCCCCTTACCTTCAGGCTTAAGGAGTAGGTGAAATTTTGATGCTCTTTGAGCTTCACATAATCATGTTTAGGGTTGATTTGAGTCTTGTTAAATGTTTGATAATTTCTAGAGCTGCTAGTTTGATTGTATTTATGTTTTATTAAGCCGAGTATGTCTGAAACAAGCTAAATGTGATTCCTAGTTTGTGCTCTTTGCTCTGTCCACTTTTCCTCTCCCTGCAGCCTACAAATTTTCTATTCTCTTTCTGGCCTTTTTTTTTATAGGGAAAAATGGTTCTTAACCTGTTGACTAAGGAAACATTAGGTTCTGAAGCGTCTTTTAACCTCATGTTTCAACATTATAATGTTTTTTCAATACTTTAGTGCTCTGTTCGGTTCACTGGAATGAAGTGGAATGGGATGGAATGATAATTACATAATAATGTTCATTCTCACATTTGGTTTACTGAAAAAATGATTTATGATTGGAATCACATTCACCATTGTAAGGGAATATGCATTCCATGGAGAGGCTAAAGAATGACCATTCCATTCCATTCTAGTGAACCAAACACTAAACAAGAGTTAAGTTTACTATAAATGCCAACAGTGCCAAGTTAGGGACATTCAATGTTGGTGTGATGATAAATAGGACTCCATTACAGCCGAGGATAAAATCATACGCAATATGGGTTGTTTTGAGCCATAATCAGTTATAGTGCTTTCTCCACAGAGGTTATAATATATATATATATATATTTTGGGAAGAATTATTCCTGTGAACTCATTTCTTGTGACCTTTGTATTTCCTCTAGAACTTCACAATTTCTGACAAAATCCATTGACATTTTTTTCTGTGGGTTTGTAGGTTATGTCATATTGCTTATTTCTTTGAAGGAAACCTTTTCAACTGCTCTACCACTGGAAGTAGCTATGCAACCTACTGGAGTTAGAGACACCCAACTCCGTGACAACAATAGTCAGAAAGTCCACCCTCAACCCATGGAAGAGGCAACAAATCAGAATCCAGAAGCAGTGGAAACTGTAATATCAAAGATTTTTACAAACATCTCTTCCCTGAAATCGGCCTACATACAGCTCCAAACTGCTCATACTCCTTATGACCCTGATAAAATCCAAGCTGCTGATAAACTCGTAATTTCGGAACTGAAAAATCTCTCTGAACTCAAGCATTTTTACAGGGAGAACAATCCAAAGCCTGTATGTGTTTCTCCTCAAGACTCGCGCTTAGCTGCAGAGATCCAAGAACAGCAGAGCCTGTTGAAAACCTACGAGGTCATGGTGAAGAAGTTCCAGTCTGAAATTCAAAACAAAGATACTGAGGTTCTTCAGTTGCAGCAACAGATCCAAGAGGCAAACCAGAAGCGGGACAGACTGGAGAAGAATCTCAAGCTTCGGGGATTGTCTACCAAAGAACCAGAAAGCTCAGGCAATCAAAATGGATTCCCCCCCATAGATTTAACCCCTGATCTTTTCACGTCAGCCGTTGAATCTGCTTACAAAGCCATTCATGATTTTTCTAAGCCACTGATCAACATGATGAAAGCTGCTGGCTGGGACTTAGATGCTGCAGCAAACTCCATTGAACCTGACATAGTTTACGCAAAGAGAGCTCACAAGAAATATGCATTTGAATCCCATATATGTCAAAGAATGTTCATTGGGTTCCAGGAAGACTGCTTCTCTATCAAACCGGACAATCCTGGAGTCTCTGAAGAAAGTTTCTTACAACAATATCTTGCCCTAAGGGATGTGGATCCACTAGATGCCGTGGGCCAAAACCCAGATTCCAGTTTTGGGAAATTTTGCAGGAGCAAGTACCTATTAGTTGTTCACCCAAAAATGGAGGCTTCGTTTTTTGGAAATTTAGATCAGTGGAACTACGTTATGGGAGGTGGGCATCCAAGGACACCTTTCTACCAAGCTTTTCTGAAACTCGCCAAGTCAATCTGGCTTTTACATAGGTTGGCATATTCTTTCAATCCGCCAGTTAAGGTCTTTCAAGCCAAGAGGGGAAGTGAGTTCTCAGAGGTCTATATGGAAAGCATCGTAAAAAATTTGGTTGTGGATGAAGGTGATGAAAAACCTAAGGTTGGGCTAATGGTTATGCCTGGTTTTTGGATTGGGGGCAGTTTGATCCAAGGCCGAGTTTATTTAACGGGCATGAAGGTTGCTGAATGACTGGCTTTTATGCAGATTGAACTCTCGCCTCGCCCAAAATGTGTATTTATGTGTTTGTTTGTTTATTTCAGTTTATTATTGCCTTAGAATCTTTTATTGCTGTTGTTGCATTTGTTGTTAAATGCTGGTTTGGAATTGAATATGTTGCACTGCTCATTTCCTTCCTAAGCATTTTAGTCTATGTGAGTGTTTCATTCCATATATATATATAACATTTGATTTAGATAGGAGCTCTCCATTGTTATTTTGCCTATATTGAACTCCATAGCTATGTTCATGGGTTTGCAAATGCATAGTTTGTGACCAATTTGAGTCAGTGATGAATCTGAATCCATATGGTTTGTTAGATTTTCTCTGTATCCATCTGATTTTAGACTGAAGTGAAGTTTAGATCTGAGTGCAGGATGTGAGAATCACCCCGATTTTTTCTTACTTGCCAATCAGAACAACACACCATATGCATATATATATGTTGTTTAATTATATAAAGTGTACAATTCTGTTTTGTACGAATATTGTAATGTTTTTTTCTTTTCTTTTTTTCATTCTCAAATTGTTCACAATTGCCTCAGATTTAGATTTTAGATTTTGATATCTTTTTTTTCGGTTTCTTTTTCCTCCATTATGCGCGCCTATTAGTTGTGCACACCGTAAATATATTGCTATGGAGGAACCTCTATATAATATCAGTACTACTTGTTTTTGCTCCCCCACTCCCATTGAGAAGGTTCTATGGGTGAATTGTTCAATAGTTTCGATACACATTGTTCTTGACCAATTAGGCCTAGTAAAAGGAGAGGCCTAGTAAAAGGAGATAGATGAGACCGTTTATGCCTTTTGGGATAAATTTTTACAAGCTGAAAGTTAATAATAACATTAATTTATCTGCTTCTTAATAATTATTATTTTTTAGCTTCGGAAATTATTTCTATTTCATAAGGTATAGACAAAACTTGCACCAAATATTGACACACTTTCAAAATAAGTAAATAAATAAAACTATAAACAACCTTATAAACGGTACCAAATTAGAATCTTGGCTCCTATCTACCGGGCTAAGATGATTAGGTTTACTTCACTTACTATTTATTTTTGAAAAATATTAGGAATCGATCCTTATGAATCCATAACTTATAACTTATCCTGAATGTGTTGTGGTGGATATCAAATTGATGAAATGTGAAGTCCATGAGCAAAATATATTTGAATCATTGATTTCTAAGAACTCACTCGTATCAATTCAGAAATTATTCAGAATCATCATTTTGTGATTCAGATTTATTTTATATATAGATTTTGTATCATATAAATTTAATCACAATCACTCAATTTTATTTGAAGTAAATTTGAAAAGCTAAGGATAGATACTTATAATTATCCATTTTATTTTTATTCACCCGTTGACTATCTGGATGGTGGCTTGTGCTGTGTTGCCCGTGCCATCTGCTACTGTACGTTTGAGCACATTAGGGGTGGGCGCGGATCGGTTGCGGCCACGGAACCTTCAATCCGCCATCCATCCGCCAGATTGGCGGATTGAAAAAAATTAATCCGCATCCGTCCGCCAATCCGGCGGATGTGGATTGAGCGGATTGGCGGTTTGAAACAATTTTGAACTTAAATTTCACTCATTTCATTTTTAAAATTTTTACAACTTCAGAATGAAGTGGTATTTTCAAAAAGAGACTTCGCAAAATAACATGAATTTGAGAGATAAGTTTAGAACTGTTTCAGATTTAGAAAACGAGTTTTAAAAAAAAAATTGTGGGTTTGGTAAAAACGAAAAAAAAAAAAAAATTTCCAAAATACAATTTTCTAAAACAACATGAATTTGAGAAATAAATTTAATTAATTGTTAGATTTTAAAAATAAATTTTAGAGAAAATTACAAAAAAAAAAAAAAGAGTTTGTTTGACTATTGTAACAAAATAAATCTTAAATTTTTAATTTTATCAATTTAAATCTAATTTTTTATTTATTTATTTTCAATTTAAATCATTATTCGATTTTTGTTAAGTAAAATCGATAAAAAAAATGTTATTTTAGTTATTAACCTCAATGTAGAGAATAACCTATGATTAGCTTTTTGGGAAATTTTCAAATGACAATTTTAACGAAATCTTTCAATTTTTATTTTACTATTTGCAACTCTATGTATTTCTCTATCTGTAGAGTTCGTTGAATGTACAGAAATGGCTATAATAGAGTTTCTCTTATTCATATTAACAGCTATTCTAGGAAGAATGTTTTTATGCGGTGCTAATGATTTAATAACTATTTTTGTAGTTTTAGAATGTTTCAGTTTATGCTCCTGCCTATTATCTGGATATACTAAGAAAGATGTACGAAACACATAAAATTTCAAAATATCATTTTTTATTGAGTTATTTATTTTTGAAAAATATTAGGAATCGATCCTTATGAATCCATAACTTATAACTTATCCTGAATGTGTTGTGGTGGATATCAAATTGATGAAATGTGAAGTCCATGAGCAAAATATATTTGAATCATTGATTTCTAAGAACTCACTCGTATCAATTTAGAAATTATTCAGAATCATCATTTTGTGATTCAGATTTATTTTATATATAGATTTTGTAACATACAAATTTAATCACAATCGCACGATTTTATTTGAAGTAAATTTGAAAAGCTAAGGATAGATACTTATAATTATCCATTTTATTTTTATTCACCTGTTGACTATCTGGATGGTGGCTTGTGCTGTGTTGCCCGTGCCATCTGCTACTGTACGTTTGAGCACATGACCCAAAATAGTGGAGTTATTTACCAAACTTACATGTTTTTTAAAATAATTTTCTCAATTCCAAACAATTTTGAACTTAAATTTCACTCATTTCATTTTTAAAATTTTTACAACTTCAGAATGAAGTGGTATTTTCAAAAAGAGACTTCGCAAAATAACATGAATTTGAGAGATAAGTTTAGAACTGTTTCAGATTTAGAAAACGAGATTTAAAAAAAAAATTGTGGGTTTGGTAAAAACGGAAAAAAAATAAAATTTCCAAGATACGATTTTGTAAAACAACATGAATTTGAGAAACAAATTTAATTAATTGTTAGATTTTAAAAATAAATTTTAGAGAAAATTACAAAAAAAAAAAAAAAAGAGTTTGTTTGACTATTGCAACAAAATAAATCTTAAATTTTTAATTTTATCAATTTAAATCTAATTTTTTATTTATTCATTTTCAATTTAAATCATTATTCGATTTTTGTTAAGTAAAATCGATAAAAAAAGTATTATTTTGGTTATTAAACTCAATGTAGAGAATAACCTATGACTAGCTTTTTGAGAAATTTTCAAATGAACAATTTTAACGAAATCTTTCAATTTTTATTTTACTATTTGCAACTCTATGTATTTCTCTATCTGTAGAGTACGTTGAATGTACAGAAATGGCTATAACAGAGTTTCTCTTATTCATATTAACAGCTATTTTAGGAAGAATGTTTTTATGCGGTGCTAATGATTTAATAACTATTTTTGTAGTTTCAGAATATTTCAGTTTATGCTCCAGCCTATTATCTGGATATACCAAGAAAGATGTACGAAACACATAAAATTCCAAAATATCATTTTTTATTGAGTTTAATAACAAAAGTATTATTTTTCTATTAGTTCTACTTAATAGAAATAAACGAATAATTTAAATTGAAAACAAATAAAAAATTGACAAAATTTAAAAATTCAGAATTTATTTATTTATTTATTTTGTAATTTCTTCTAAATTTTAAAGGAAATTGTGGGTTTGGTTTGAAAAAACTACAAAATGGAAAGCATTGTGAGGGATTCAATTATTGGTCGGTTTAAGAAAACTCAGTTCCAGCTGGATCAATATTTTGGAATGACAACGTATATAAGAAGGGGGGTACATCATACATGTGAAGATAAACAGGGTCAAGTAGGGTATTTTATAACAATAAAGCAAACTAAATACCCATATATGGAGGAACCTAAACATAAAATTTCCAGCTCAATTCACCAGTTTAAAAGTATATATTTTTTTTATTTGAGTTTGTAAGTATTGTTTTTTGCTGAGAGGACAAGCAATAAAGGCTCTCACATGGTCAGCAAATTGCAGTATTAGATCTAAAAATACATATATGTTTATTGGGTGATTCTATAAATTATCACAACCTTAAGCTTAGGGATTATGTTGGGCAATGCTTTTCGTATGATGTGTTGTAAACAGCTAACTTGTTGCCATCAATTAGTCTGGCGGTCAATAATCGAGAGGATAATTATTCAATAATTTTATAATATCACATGAAATTATTATGTAGTAGTAAAAATTTTATTTATCAAGAATATTTTGTTAACACTATCACTTGATACTCTGGAAGTATTTAGTAATTTATTCTGGAGTCGTTAAATTTAGGATTTCACTTCTTATCAATGAAATCAAAATAATCTTAATCATCCGTTCAAAATTGAAATATTTAGGTCGTGTTGATTTCAACAATATATCCATTCTCTCTAGTAATTGTTGGCGTCTTAGGTTCATCTTGGTAAAAAATTTATCTAAATTTATTTTTAGATTGAAAAATGTTTAAGATCCTTAAAAAATTATCCATAAATTTATTCATAATGATATAGCCGGTTGCATGTTAGTCATTAAGTGATTTAAAATTTTGAGGATAAGCAAGATAAAATAAAAATATTATGATTATGAGTTCAACTTAATTTTGTTCATAGATGATATATGCAGAGAGGCTGATAAAAAGTAAAAAGAAAAGCAGAAAGTCTTACAAAATAAACGATTTGTATCATCCAAACAGAATTCATAGTAAATTTTTTTTAAGCCAAACATGACGATAAAGTTTATTAATTTTAAAGAAGCCCAATCCAAAAATAAAATATCAAAGTAAGATTTGGAGTAAAGTGTACAAGTTTCAAAGTATAATTTACCTTTTTGAATCCGAACATGACGATGAAGCTCATATTTGAATTTTAGAGAGGTCAATAAAAAAGGATAAAACACTAGATTATTATTATTTATTGGGTAAATTATACTTTGCGCTCTTTATATTTGACCATTTTTTCACTTTGGTCCTTAAAGTTAGTTTTTTTTTCCCCCCACTTTACCCCTTCATGTTTCAAGTTTTTCTCAATTTATTCTAAAAGTACATAGTATAAAAATATTTTATTATATATAATTCACACATCTAACACAAATTCAAACCTCAATATAATAATATATTTTTTATGTTATGTAACAATTAACATAACATCTTTCTATCTAATTTTGAATAGAAGTTAATTTTAAGAATAAATTGAAAAAAATTAAAACATAAAGGGATAACCTGTAATTCATTCTTATTTATTTTGTAATTTTCCAAGAAGGTTACTTGTCCATTAAATTACTAAAAAACAACACTTAAAATTGTTTTCAACAATTAAAAAAACTCATTCAAATCCGACCACCAGCTTCTCCGAAGCACCATTTCACGTGCACCCTTAATCCACTACATAAAACAAATACATACATAGTCTCGTTGATCCACGTTAGACTCTGTAGTACTAAAGCCTTCCTCTATATAAACTCACACATATATCACCACCTTCTTCACATCTTGTCCCAACCCTTCTTTCTCCTCACATCTCAAAACTCTCCAAACTATCACCCCCCAAATGGCCCAACTTTTCCTCTCCTTCCTATTTCTACTTCTCTCCATCTCTTGCTTGGCCAGCCCTGCTAGATCAACTGACCATATAAATCCTCAGTCTCCAGCTAGGGCTTTCATCGAGGCAGAGTGTCAGGCAACACACTATCCCCAACTTTGTATCCAATGCCTTTCTAACTATGCGAACAACGCAACCGTGCAAAGCCCGAAGCAATTGGCGCAATTCACCTTGAAAGTAAGCCTAATTCGGGCTCGGTATGCACAGGCCTATGTAATCAAAGTGGCTGCTCAAATGAAGGCGGCTAAGGCCCAAGAGTACCAAGCTGTGAAGGATTGCTTGGATCAAATCAGTGATGGTGTGGGCCAGCTTAGCCAATCGATTAAAGAGCTCCAAAATATTAATCAAGAAGGGGAGGCTAATTTCATTTGGCACATGAGCAATGTTCAAACTTGGCTTAGCACTGCGCTCACCGATGCCACTACATGTATTGATGGGGTCTCGGGCCGGGCCATGGGAGGGAGGGTTAAGGCTATGATCAAAGCCAAAGTCCTAAATGTGGCTCAATTCACTAGCAATGCCCTGGCCTTGTTTAATCGATTCGCTGCAAAACATCGAGCCGCCGGTGCCACCACCAAACCCTAAGCCCTAGTATTTTCTAGGGTGATACAAAAATTATATATATGGTTATTGTAATTTGTGAATATGAAGTTTTGTTTACATGAAATATATCATTTATTGTCATTTCTAACTTATCTTTGGTTTCATATTCTTTCATCGGTTGATTTTGTATATTAACAGTAAAAAAAAGAACATGAAATAGAAGGTGAATCAGAATAGAGAATCCCACTTTGAAGCAAGCTACTAGATGTACTCTTCCAAAATTTTAATAATATTATTTTATTATTACTATTAGTATTGGTCATAGATCTGCTTTATTTAATATTTTATTTTTTAAGATATATTTTTTGCTCAATTGGTCAATGATCTTAGTTTATAACAATGTGACCACGTGATTGAGATTTGAGGCCACCTTAAGTTTAAGGGGGTTGCTAATTTCCCTCTTATTATAATAGAATTAGTTAGAATATTTTCAAATTATATAAGTTTGTTAATTAAGGTTTTTTTGGAAAATTTAATACCCATTTTTTTCTTTTTCTTTTAAAAAAAAAATATTAGTGGTATTGTAGGTTTTAGTGAACAAATTTTTGATTTCATATACATAATACATTCGGTCTCAGTCACATTAAATTTTAAATTCATTCTCATTTCTAAGGTTCATATGATGCGTTAAAAGAGATTAAATAAAGGCATAAAAAAAGAAAAAAAGAAATGTATCTTGATTTGATAATTTGTAGCCATCATATATTGTAAATCTTTTGATATGTATTATGCATGGTTGACCCTTATTGGCTTTGTTTGGGAGTTAGGAAAATGTTTGGAGAAATTTCCGAGAGAGAGCTTTCTTAAAACAACTCAGCACATTTCCAGCTCATTTTCAGCCAGAAAGTAAAACGAATCTTTAGACACAATTCTAACATGCACAATGATTTATTATTTTTCTTTTTTTTTAAGTTTGAAATATTTCTAACCATGAAATTAAGAAATTTACATCCTTTGTGGATTCTAACAAATGTCATGAGGGTATTAGTTTCCTATTCTTTGATCAATAAAATTATCAGGGTTAACTACACTTTTCACCTTTATTGTTTGATTTAAATTTTACTTTGGTCCATATAATTTTAAATTGAATAATTTGGTCTCGCACTTCAATTGTAGTTTTAATTTGGTCCTTCCGTCAAAACTAAAGATTACAATTAATAATTTTTAAGATACTTGTCAAATTTTCAAGGTGTACACAGAGACAAAATTAATCGAAATTTAGATGGGAGAATCAAATTGAAATTGGACTTAAACTGTAAGAACTAAATTATTCAAATTGAAACAATAGAGACTAAAATGAAATTTGGATCAAAGTAGAGGTGTAAAAAGTACAATTAATTCAAACTATAATTATCATATTATATTATATTTTGTTTATCATGCAATGCATCACTACTATATTGATAACTAACATGAGTATTGAAACCCATTAAACCATAGCAATAGTGATACTTTACATTCTCTCAGGTTCAAATATAAACTTGGTAGAATTGTTTGGACTTGTAGAGTTATCATGGATCCCGTTTTTGATAATCTGAACTGTTTATTTTTTAGGATTTTCTGTGTATATGATCCTTAAAAAAAATTAGCTTAATTCAATAATCGTAAAATTTTTATTCTATCACATTTATGTCCAAAAAAAAGGATGACATATGTGTTTTTAAAAATAGATTATTTATTTTTTCAGCAACAAATGTGATAAACTGAAAATGTTACAATCATAGAATCGATATAATTTTTAAATTTTTTTCTTTTTATGGATGATATAGATGAAGGATCCTACAAAATGAATTAATCAAAATATCAAAATAAGATTCGTAATGCGCCTCATAAGACCAAACAATCCTAACAAATTCAAATTAGTTTAGATTTAAATTTGAGAGAAGCTCACATGATTATCATAACAGTATTGTAATTATTTGATAGATTAACAAATTAGCAAATTATATCGGGTTTTTTATTTTTATTTTTATTTTTATTTTTCAAAAAATTCCAAGGTATTGGCAATCCAATTATATGTGCAAGAGTAAGTGGGGCCAATTCTCAAGTCATTTTATCATTTCCTTCTTGGAATTGAAATTCATCATAAATAGTGAGAAATTATCTCAAGATGGACAAAGGTTTGACTTTTATTTTATTTTATAATTTTTTATTTGATTCATATATATAATGACAATTATTAAATACAACATATATACAAGAAATAAGATTAAAAAATGAATTGTTGTCCTAAGCTTGTTTAGGTATTTACAATTGACTCAACTAAATTCTTATAAACAAAGAAACTAATAAAATAAGAAAATTAAATCAACACAAATTAAGAATTTTATTATTTCCACTAAATTACAAGATATTAATCAAATACTAATTTCAAAGTAATAAAAAAAAATAAAAAAAAAATTAAAATTTTAGGCTCCGTTTGGTGGAGTTAGAAAATTAAATCAACACAAATTAAGAATTTTATTATTTCCACTAAAGTACAAGATATTAATCAAATACTAATTTCAAAGTAGTAAAAATAAAAAATAAAAAATAAAAAATAAAATTTTAAAATCTTATTTACCACATCTACCTTTCTATTATTTTTTAGTGTTTGAAAAAACTTAGGTTGCGTTTGGTAGAATTTTGTAAATATGATTTGAGAGTATGAGTTGTATTTTGAGTTTTTGAGTTGTGGAATTATGATTTGAGTGTAGAAAAATTATTTGGTTATGATTTTTGGATAGAGTGTGGAATTGAGTGTGGATTTGAGTTTTGAAAGTTTGATTTTACATGTGAAGTAAGAAAATTTGTTTGGTTATGAGTTTTGGAAAGAGTTTCAAAACTTAATTCAAATTGTTATAACTCACAACAAAACACAAACTATTTTCACACTATTGAAAATTCTGATCAACACTCATAACCAAACTCTTTTCAAAATTCAATTAAAAAAATTTATTATTAATAGAAAATAACATTAATCAATTTTTTATGAAAGTAATGTGTTTTGTTATGAGTTATAACAATTTGAATTAAGTTTTGAAAACTCTTTTCAAAACTCATAACCAAACAAATTTTCTTACTTCACATGTCAAATCAAACTTTTAAAACTCAATTCTACACTCAATTCAAAAATCATAACCAAACAAATTTTCTACACTCAAATCATAATTCTAAAACACACAAACTTAAAATACAACTCATATTCTCAAATCATAGTTACAAAGCTCTACCAAACGGAGCCTTAAAATCTTATTTACGATATCTACCTTTCTATTATTTTACAAGATATCAGCCAAAGTAGGCTTTTTGATTTCATAATAATAATAATAATAATAATAATAAATCTTATTTACAACATCTACCTTTCTATTATTTTTTAGTGTTTGAAAAAACTTAGGTTGCGTTTGGTAGAATTTTATAAATATGATTTGAGAGTATGAGTTGTATTTTGAGTTTTTGAGTTGTGGAATTATGACTTGAGTGTAGAAAAATTGTTTGATTATGATTTTTGAATAGAGTGTGGAATTGAGTGTGGATTTGAGTTTTGAAAGTTTGATTTGACATGTGAAGTAAGAAAATTTGTTTGGTTATGAGTTTTGGAAAGAGTTTTCAAAACTTAATTCAAATTGTTATAACTCACAACAAAACACAAACTATTTTCACACTATTGAAAATTCTATCAACACTCATAACCAAACTCTTTTCAAAATTCAATTAAAAAAATTTATTATTAACAAAAAATAACATTAATCTCCAATAGCAAAAAATTTTGAACATGACACCAATACCAATTGTTCACTAGTTAGTGTATGAATTTTGTATGAGAGACGCCTGGCAAAATGATGGCAACTTTCTAAGTTGACTTAACTTGTTGAATGGCCTAATTAAAATAATATGGGTGCATAGTAATCAAACTGCCAATATTGAAACATTTTGTTTATTAGAAATCAAGTAGTCATTTGTGTTCTACCGGTACCAATATTAATAGAAGAATATTAATGATGATTTCTACTCTTTGGCATTTTCCTACTGTTTATGCTGACTATGTGCTATGCTCCATTAATTTTCTCTTTTGTTGACTGTCCCTGGCCTTTTCTCTTGTGCGGATTAAGAGCATCAACATCAAAGTTAAAGTTTTATTATATTTTAACTTGGAAGTTATTTTTTCTATTTTGATTTTACATCTTTTTAAAAACATTTTCTAACAAATTCTCTATTTTACATCTTTTTAACTTAAAAATGCTTGTTGATTTAAATTGAGTTTTGAATTATGTGTTTGGTTATGAGTTTTGAAAAGTAATGATTATGTTTTGAATTGAGTTTTAAGAAATGAGTGTAAAATTATGATTTGAAAGCTCAAAACAAACAATACACTCAAATCAATGGGTGAAACTATAATTCGAAACTCTTACCAAACGGAGCCTTCTATTTTTTCAGTTACCTATAGAATTTAATTATTTTCTTGAAGAATCAATTTTTGATGATTTCTGTACATCAAAAAAAACAATATATATATACTTATGAAAATATTGCTGGATTAATATTTAAATATTAAATTTATTATGAAGTTGCCAACCAATAATCCGTTGTAGTCTAGTTGGTCAGGATACTCGGCTCTCACCCGAGAGACCCGGGTTCAAGTCCCGGCAACGGAATTTTCTTTTTCTTTGATCTTTAACAATAGAGTCAATTACCAAAAAGTTTTATTTACAAATTTTGATCTTTAGGTTAATTATCTAAAAGTCTTTGAAATTTAACAATGGAGTCAATTATCAAAAAGTTCTATTTACAAATTTCGATCTTTAATAATAAAGTTAATTATCTAAAAGTTTTATTTATAAATGTTATGAAAGATTTTTTGAATCAATAAGTACTATTTAGAAAAAATAAAAATATTCTTATTTTTTTTTAATTTTTAAAATAAAGAACATTATCAATTTTGAATAGTAATGTTCTACATAATTATTTTATTAACTGATGAAAAAAAACAGAGCAAGAGATTAACGTTTTTGCTCTTCTACTTATTGGTTTGATTTAACAATCCAATAAAATCGAGAATATTATCAGTTTTTTTCAATTTTAAAACTGAGAACATTATTATTTATTTATTTTTGTCAGTTTTGCACATTAATGTTTCATCATCATGCTCTTTTATAGACACAAAATTTTCAGTTTTGAACAAAAAATAATTTAGTTTTTTCAATTTGGTTTTGGTTTTTAAAAAATAGTTTTCAAAAAATTTTGTCTTTTTATTTTCCGTATTTTAATGTTTTCAATAATTTTTTTAAATATTTTAAGCATTTTTTTTAATGTTTAGACACACCTAACATAAATATACTTAAAAAGTATAATATTTTAAAAATTATAATATTAGTTTTTTTTTTTAGTTTTTCAAATATAATAACATTAATAATTTGGAAAAAAAAAGTATAATATTAGTTTTTTCAAATAATTATTCAAATTGGAAAAAATTGAAAAAAAAATATTAAAAATTATATAATATTTGTAAAAAAAAGTATAATATTTGTAAAAAAGTATAAAGGAACGTGAAATCGAAGAAGAAAAAAAAACAACGGATATAACATTATTGTGTATAAGGAATTATTATTTGCTTGATTTCTAGACAATTTTTTCTTAACAGAGGCATGAGATGATTAAAAAATAATTAAATATCTACTTTAAAAAAAAAAAAGGGTAAATCACACTGACACCTTGCACTGTTCCGGTCAACCGGCCGGACGACTGGTTAGTCCAAATTTTTCCGCTTTCAACCGCGTTTTCAAAAATGAGCGTGGAATTAAGTTTTGAAATTCATAAACAAATACCGTGTTCAAATTAAGCTCTGGAACGTTACTTCCAGAGTTGTACCAAACAGAGCTTTTTTTTTTTATATATAGTTTTTTTGTGTGTGCAAGTCTAACACACAAAAAAAACTTGTATGAAACACAAAAAAATTTGTACCATATACACAAAAGACTTACACAAAAATAATCTCATTTTTATGGTGGTGCAAGGATATTAATTCATTACTAAAAATTTAATTTTATCACTAAAAATATAATAATGACACTTTTTACGAGATATTTTGTCTCTGGAAAGTAAGTTGGTTCCTAAATTTTTATTTTTAAAATCTTTATTTCTTGTATTATACTCACAATTATTTGATTATATATTGATATTTGTATACCTCAAAGTTCTCACATTATGCAATAATTATAAATATTTTAAAACAAAGAACAAAGAGATTTATGGATAGAGGATCCTAATTTTCCCATCAAAAAAATCTACCACTCACATGGGATAGGGCTCTTCCATGGTTGATTTTTCAGTGGAATTATGATTTTCTAGCAAATTAATTGGGAATTGATATAGTGTGCACCTATCACAAAAATATATAATTTTATCATAAAATTTCATAATATTAATCATAAAATACGTAGTTTAGCCACAAATTTGTGTAACAAAAAATGTCATAACCGAGCTATAAACTTTTGTAATATCAATCACAAATTTTTAAATATTTTGCTATTTCAATTTGTAACAAGGTTACATATTTTGTACTTGATACTAGGAAATTTTATGATAAAGTTATACTTTTTTGTGGTAGGGTCATCAAAGGATTTCCCTAATTTGTAAGAGTGCCTTTAATAGTGTAGTATTTAGGGGTAATATAGGGAGAGTTACCAATAAATCCTAAATGTTGAAAATGTGTTCCATTTAGTCCTAGAAATATTCTTCTAATCAATTTAGTCCTTTCCATTGTGGAAAGACGTAAATACCACTAGATGGGCTACTGCAACGCCTAATACATGTATTTGGTGATTTTGGTGCGCGTAGTGGTGATGTGCCGCTTTTCCATATTTTAGGTATTAGTAGGTGGTTATGACTTGCCACATTAAGCGCGTGATTTTGGTTCCAAACGTACATATAACACTCCAACGTAGTAGGTATGATATACCATTCTAAAAAAATTAAAATTATTAATGTGGTAGATATTATGTGATATTCCAATGTGATAAGTATTAATATACATTCTAAAAAAAAATTAAAAAATTTAGTATGCTTTTCCTAAATGTGATAACGTGACGAATATAATATGACACTCCAAAAATTTTACTCAAAAAAAAAAAAAAAAAAAAAATTAAAGCTTTATTTTCATATATTTTTTTTTAATAAAAAAAGTCACAAAAAATGGACTCCCAAACATGGCCTACCTCAACTTGTATTTGTGAGTAGAGTTGTGCAAAATACAGCCTAATCCGTTAAAATCGCACTGATCTGCATCAATTCACACCGCTCGAATCACTAATGATGTGACACTCTAAAAAAATTAAAAACTCCTTAGTGTATTTTTCTTAAACGTGACATGTGACACTTTAACATGGCGGGTATGATGTGACACTCTAAAAAAATTAAAAACTCTTCAGTGTACTTTTCCTAAATGTGACACTTTAACATTGACGGGTATGATGTGATATTAAAAAATTGTCATAACGGATAAACATTGAAGAAGAATGGAACACATGCACAATTGTACCACAGCCACTGCAAAATGAATAAACTACATATGGCATGTTATACAATTGGAATGTGTGGCATAGTACACAAAAAATCCTAACGTAATGATGTGAATGTCTTGTATTGTAATATTTCAATTACCAAATGTTTGGAAGTAATCCCACCAAAATCGTAAAATGGGAAAATGAAGGGTATAATTGATTGCCCAATGTTACCAAACAAAGGAAATGGGATCAACTGATAAGATATTCCCCCACTAATAGGACTAATCAGAACAATAAATAACCTTAGGACCAATCGGTAAAATTGTTTGTGAGATGGGATTTATTGGTAAATATCTGTAGCTCGACTATTTCATGCCCCATTCCGGAAGTTCGAAATATAAGCCCTACAGTTCGGACTCCCGCGGTTCTGAATCTAATCTCACAAGTGCAATGTGAAATTGATAATCACCAAAGAGTCCAAATCCGACAAATCTTTCGAAAAATCGATTTTGAATCAAATTGTCAAAAATTGACTGCTTTGCCAGATACAAAGTCCCCACATAAATATGTTATTTTTGAGAAATTTAGGAAACCCATGACTCGTGTCAAAGGCTATATGTCCGTCATCACCAAGATTATCTCGGTTCGAGAACTTAGGTACGTGAGGGGAAGGTCATGAATTGAGCACCTCCACTCGCCCGATCAAAGATCAGCCTCTACTAATCATGATACGATTTTTATCAACATTATATGCTCTTGTTCCGATTTATTAGCCTAGCATTTACTATGCGATGCGCGCACACAAGGTATAGACTAGTTTGCCCGAATTGGGACAATTCAATTTCATGTTTGTTTTTTGAAAAGGATTTGATTTTGCCACTTAACAAAATGGGCTTAAAGTTTGTGAATTTGCCACTTGACAAAGTAGGCTTAAACGTTCATTCATTGAATCATTCCAATTCAGCCTTCATCTACAGGCATTCAAACAGTTATAGTACATAAGCAATTAGCCTCATGGCAAGCATGCTAGTCATGACAGTCACTCACATTCATGCAAGTATGCTAAAGCACTAAAAATTCACCTTGTACTCTTGTACTTCAAGCCAAGATAAACAAAAGAGTTAGAAAAATGCATGATTCCTAACTATACAAGATGTCTAATGCAACGCATGCAATAATGCAATTAAAATAGGCTCGGCTAATAAGCATGGCATATGAATCGATTTGATAACATGCGTTCTAAGCACGTATTCAAAGAAGTATTGAAATGACAATGCAGTAAGAATGATGAACTGAGCCTTGATGCATGCAATACAAATGAATAGATGCAAGTACATGATATGCTAATTGAAACATGATGTCCCTAAACTAACCATCATAAGCTGATAAATAAAAGGGAGGAAGACGTGGGGTTGGAAGACATACACATTATTACAACATTGCGCTCTCACGAAGGAGAGTCCAAATGAATTAAGCTAACTAAGCTAAGCTAATTAAGCTAATTAAACTAACTTTTACAAACCGAAATGAATAACTAGCTAAACTAATTAACTAATTATTACAACACATGAATCAACTAACTATTCTAGTTAATTAAGTTACAACACTTGAACGAAATTAATTAGCTACAACTAAGTAATTACAATAAATGCTTTAATCTAAATATTTAAACTTTAAATAAGCTCGGAATGCGAAAGATGCTTAAGCACGTGCTCGGTTTCCACCTGAGAAGTCGTTGTTTTGCTTCCGAATGTCTTTGTTTGTACAGTTGAACATTAACACTGCTGCTGTAGACACCCCATTTTTGACCGACCTTAAGACTCAGATGTCACCAACTGAGCGCTCGGTGATGTTGCATATTGTGCTCGTTCTGAGGTTGCGGAGTCTCGGCTGCGAGCCTTGCCTCCGGACTTCGGAGCTCTTTTGTGTTTTGCCTCGGTTTACGAATTAGGTCCTGTTTTCTCTGTTTTCTCTTCCCGAAGGGAGGGAGAGGTCTCGTAGACCATCTCTCAGTGGCCGTAGGCTACGTTTCGTGGTCGTAGGCCATTTTTCTCGTTTGGAGCCTAGTTTCCGGTTTTCGGAGTCGTCGGCCGTGTGCCTCGGTTCGGGACCGCTTAACCACCTCTGTTTGCTCTGGTTTTTGGCACACACCTTATTTCCTCCCTTTAGAGGGACACTGTCGCCCGGGAGACCACCTTCGTGGTCATACGCCACTTCCGGTGCCTAACAACATGTTTTCGGGGTCCTAGACTGCGCGTTTTGGCCCCCGAACCTTCGTTTTGCATCTGTTTTTGTCTATTTAGCTAATAAAACCTGTGATAATAAACATTTAGACCACATATTTTAAGTGTGACAATATCTAATAAAACCTGTAATTAATAATGAGATAAGATCACACTTTTGTATGCGCATTTGAAAAATGTAACACACACTATATACTATATTTTGAATGACAACCACATATTGAATGGAATAACGCCATATATTTCATAAATGAATGTTAAATATTCAAAAGTATATACAAATGAATTAATAAAAAGTTCTTAACGATGATTACATATTTTAAAAAAAGAAAAAATTAAAAAAAAAACTAAATTCTTGAATTCTTTGACCATATTTTGCATCTCTCCCCAGAAATTACTGACCTGAAAAATAAAAACAAATATTTATTCAGAAATCACTAGAAACATATGAATAAACTTACTATTTTTAGTGACTGTTCTAGTCTTAAAAAAAATAAAGTCGGACATTTTCTCATCACACTAACTCTGTATCTCCCGCATCAATAGAAAAAAAAAAAAAAATCACTTTGACTGTTACTAGTATAAAATTTTTGGATTACCATATAGATATGACATATGCATTGAATCAACAAATCCAAAATGAAAATCTTCAGTGCATGGCCAAATATTTTAAAGTCAAAAAACCAAAATAAAAGCAAACTATTGTTTAAATATAAAAAGAAAAAAGAAAAAAAATATATATTACATGGCATTAGAAAGGATATAAGCCCAAGCAGTGCCTGTGTGCAAGTCTAAGCCTTAAGGAATACTTACAGAGCTGTGATGTGAATCAATCATCTGCCCTTGTGCTTTAGCTCTTGCTATAACTTTGGCAGCAACCTCATCAGCGTGTTTCTGGAGTTCTACAATATACACAAGAAAATGCTACAATATACACTAGAAATAAGACCCAAATTAACACAAATTAAAAACAAATACCTAAGTTTCTTGCTTCTTATGATATAAATGACAAACCTCGTGGCCAATAATTCATAAAATTGCAGCATAATCTGCATCTGTAGCAATTCTGGAGATGCCAACACAAGCTTGGAATTGAATCTGTGTCAACAACCAAGTAAAAATGTGAATATAATGTTAGTATACCATCTTAAGCTCAAGAAAGGATGTAAAGTATTCAAAAATGGACAAAATGCTTTGCACGCATCAATCCTGATAGAAATTACCATCATAATGATATGAAAATGGCAGTTTTGGAAACATAATCCTGACAACTTATTTTGATGTAATAGGTAACTCATTTTCCACATTAGTATGTATGCAAATATGGTTACGTTTTTCTTCATATAGAACAATTAGAAAAAATGGAACGAGAGGATATATATTTCACCAGAAGAAATGATCCCAGTAGATTTCGGTTGAATGCTTGTTCCAGTGCAGCAATCTTATGTCCTGGGATGTAATCAGACAACATTAGGATTGCTAAGACCTGCAAAATTGCAAACAATTTAAGAGGGTTGAATAGTTTTAATTAACAAAGAGTACTCCATAACCATTGCCTATTTGATTAACACGGTGATGGGGCACAAGAAGAGATTAGACGAAGATTAAAGATTTATTTTGATGATATCTTCTTATTTATAATTTAATAGGTTTTATTGTTTTATTACTCTAATTATGATAGTTTTCTTTTTGGTTACTATCAAATAGAATTTTTTTGGATGCCTATAAATAGGTCTTTTATGTAATAGTTTCATAGACTATGATATTGAATTAAATTTTGAGATATTGAGAATAGAGAATTAGAGTTTCTTTTATGAGAAATGCTAAAGACCCACAATTTAAGTCCCACAATGATATAGCAATGAGATTGAGCCTTGCATGATTGAGTTTGTGACAAACAAAAAATTGGCACATAACTTGCCATATCATTGTGGGTAAATTGTAGATCTCAATCTTTTTCCTTCTTTTATTTTGTATGGCCTTTCTTTTATTTTCTTTTAGTTGTTCTATTCTCGCCGGTTGTCCAACATCATAAAGCCTTATTGCTTCTCACCTAAACATTGACTTCTATAAATAAAATCTATAAATATAATAGAGAGGTTTAGGGCATTAAACTTTCACCAAAAAACTAATTAAAAATAATAATTCAATGATTAATTCAACATATATTCAAATATAAAAACCAAAAGGCTAATAACTCGCAAAAGGAAAGCAATCCCAATCACTCAAATTAGCTTCTAGATAAACAAACAAACACAATGAATCATTGACACCGGATATACAAGTCAACAAAGGCAAAAACATCAGCTATGCTGGTTTCTCAACAAGTTGCAGAACAGATAAAACCATCATATTTGAGAAGTTATTAGCAGAAAGAAAAAATGAGAATAACTTGGAGATTTTGAGCTAATACAAAAGTAACATAAGCTGTATTACACTGCAATAGAATTGCCCATTAGTTTTAATAAAATTTTATATTTATAAATGAGAATTGAGATTTTCTTCTTCTTTTTTTGGGGGGGTTAAATATGTTTTTCTTCTTTGCTTCCAAAGAATAACATCATTCTCAAAAAAATGGTCTATTTATTACAAAAGTAATCATAGCAATATGCCCTACCATTCTGCGTGAAACTCTTTCCACATGCCTATCTAGAAGCATTGTTAATAACCTGTCTCATTCAGAAAAAATAAAAATAAAGATCAATTAACATGACAGCAGAAGATAATGAGATGACAAAGACTCCAGTGATAAAGATATATACCAAAACAAAAGAGATAGAATCCAGACTCTAATTGCTCATTTATTGGATCTCAACACTTGCTTAGATCAGAGTTACCAAAAAACAGATAGCTGCTCAATTGGACACCAATGAGATACATACCCCAATATCCTAACAAGAAAAACAATCAATTTCTTGGCAAAAACTTAGTATACCAATACAAGTTCACCTAAATATTATACATGATCCATTAAACAAAATGCAACCAAGAGAATTAAACTCACTATTACAATAAAGTCCTCAATTAAAAATTAAGGTTGCAAGTCAGGCCTGGTTGGATATAGACCTATGATCTGACAGAAACATTTTTTCTTTATTTTACAAGCCATTTCATTATTGAAGGCACCAAAAGGAGACGTTGTCCCAAGTATACACAACATATAGAAAATAAAAATAATGAAAATCCATACCAATGTATCCTTGTTATCACAAAATCGAAAAAGCTCTCCATGACCCAACCATGTAAAAGAATAATAAATAAAAATTTAAAAAAAAATAAAAATAACTCTTCTTAATCTACATATCAGTTCTTTATCTTCACCTAATTTATTTTATTTGTATACCAACATATACAAGGCAAATGTGATCCAATATTTCACAGAGTATTTGAGGAAGTCTAAAACAGTATTTCAGTAAACCCAAGGAAAGACAATCAATCTCATAATAAAAACCATACCATCCTAGCCACCCTACAGCGGATGAGAAGATAGTCCACAGACTCCATGCCTCTTTGATCATACAACAGAAGTTGGGGAAATATATTTCCTATTCTTATCAAATAATCCATTCTTAAGCTTTTGCCATGTGCCACGGATCATGCCAAAAAAGCCTCCTTTGTTGGAGATTAGTGCCTCAAAAAACCCTTCAAGGGAAAGATATCTCCTAACTAAGCATCAAAACTTTATAACATGACATCAAATTTGTTCAATTTCTAAAACATTTTACCTCACCTCATCAGGCTCAACCTCTGTAGCCTACCATTTCCAAAATAGCACTATCTCAACAGCCTTGAGATCATGCATTGCCCTCGTGAAAATAGTGTCCCAAATCATTCCCGCTTTACATACTGTGAAATAATCTAACACCCTCAACTACTGAAGTGTTTGATTGAAAAAAAAAAAAAAAGCAACAGAGTACTCAAATAGTGAAACTTATACATACCCATTTTCCTGTTTCACTTGCATAGAATACCTCTGCTGCTCCACTCTTTGAAAATGCGACGCCAAATGAATCAAATCAACCGTGTGCCCGTGTTCATGAGAAAGACAAATTTTAGACTTCACAGAATCAGATCTTTGAAAAATCCCACCTGCTTCGACTTCAAAACCAATATCAATACCTCAGTCGCTCACCGCCGCTGCTGCTCGCCTTTCACTGCTGCTCGTAGTAGTCGCCGCCGTTCAAAGGATGTAGGGTTAGGGTTTGAAGAGAGGAGTGAGAGATGGGTTTGGAATATCAATATCAATATGAATTGAATTGTGTTAGTGTTAGTGTTGTGTGTGGGGGGCTACTTTAGGGATGGCAATTTGAAACCGGCTCGATGGGGACCCGACCCCTCGACCCCGAATTGTGCGGGTTTTCTCCGAAAAATACTTCCGACGGGACAGGGATGGTATTTAAAAATCAATCCCCGAACAGATTCGGGCCAGGGACGGGGATAAGTGTCTCAGTCCCATACTGGCCCAGCCCCGTCCATATATATATAATCACACTTATTTAAAAAGTGAGGTTAAAAATAAATATTATCACACTCACTTAAATTAAGTGTGATTAAAATATTAATCTAATTTTTTTTATCACATTTTCAATAAAAATGAGATAATTTCATTTGTTAACACACTGGCATATATAACAAAAGATAAAAGAAATTATGAGGGAGTAGGAGAGCGATAAAAGATATACAATCCCAACTATGCTCAGTCTAGTGTTCACTTCATGCTCGAAAAAATGACCTAGAAGAGAGAACTATACCTGGATGTTGGAGGGAGATTTAGAGACGCCGATGTTGTCATCGACGGGGAGTTACCGCCATTGCTAGAGAGTGAGAAAATAGAGAGATCTATAGACGTCGGTCTACGAGAGAGAGAGATTGTGAGCGTCTACGAGAGCGAGAGAAGAGAATGAGAGGACATGAGAGGAAGAGGGTTACCTAGACACGCTGGTGTTGTCGCCACAGAGAGAGAGAGAGAGAGGGAGAGAGGGAGAGATCTCGCCTTGGGATGAACCCTACCTTCTACTTTCCTTTTAATTAGAAGTAGCCAAAGAGTTAAATGCATTTTGAAATTTTTTTTTTTTAATTTGCATTTTGGTGTTGGGGCTTTTTTAAAAAAAATAAATTGGAAATTGTATATTTTATATAAAAATCAATTTGGAATATTTTATAAAATCACACTTATTTAAAAAGTGTGATTAAAAAATAGTAATGTATATATAATCACACTTTAATTAGAAGGTGTGATTAAAAAATATATAAATAATCACACTTTAATTAGAATGTGTGATTAAAAAATATATATATAATCACACTTGTTTAAAAAGTGTGATTAAAAAGTAGTAGCGTTTATATAATCACACTTTAATTAGAAGGTGTGATTAAAAATATATATATAATCACACTTAATTGAAAAGTGATATAAAAAATAAATATTATCACACTCAATCAAATTAAGTGTGATTAAAATATCAATCTAATTTTTTTTTATCACACTTCCAATAAAAGTGAGATATTTTTTTTTATTAAAGTGTGATCTTTAACTATTTTTGTAGTAGTGTAAAATCATTTTAGCATACCAAACACTACTTAAAAACCTTTTCCGGAAGGAATTAACTGAGAAAAGATTCAGTCATACTATGTACATATGAGTCCTATTCATTCAATACAAAGAGAGCCTTGCAAAGTGGTATGGGTAACAGAGTGCAGACAGATATAAGTTCCATAAGGAACCTCCAATACCGGGCAGCTAACATATACCACATAATATTAAGAGTCACGAATACATATCAGAGGTTGACCCCTTAATCAGTATACAGCATATAGCATTTCAGAAAACAAAACTTATTTTATAACACAGAACATGAATACAGTTGCACACAACTTTACTGTAGTAGTAATCCACTACTTATATCAAGTACTTATCGGGGTTATAGATTGCACTAGCCTCATTTCATAAGTAATTTCCCCCGTTAAGTTACAGAGATTCGATTCATTCACTTCTGAGTCATTCATCTGGTCTTTGTTCAATTTGTCCTCAATTCGGCAATCCATCACAGTCAGTCCAGTTCATTCGGGAGTTATTGGAAACATAAGGCGAATTTGTACATTACTTCCATAGCAGTAGGCAGAGTTCTGAAGTAATCATTCACATACTATTCATCAGTTTCAGTCCTTACAGATTCGATCATATTACGTATCAATACGGAAGCAGTCATACTGACTACATATACTTCTAGATAGTGAGGGTTCATAATCAAAACCAGTCTGTTGTCAATAAATCCCATCAGTTCTGAAGCACGGTAATCACCAAAACAATCATTCCCTAGTCAAACAAGTTCATAATCATAACGGTAATACCGGGTAAGTAATCACATGTCATGTACCCAGTTTCTCCATATTGTAAGTAAATCAGGTAATAGCTCTCAATGAGAGTTTTCTCAAGTCAAATCGATGAAAGTTAGACTAGGTCATTTCAGATGCCAATTCTGCCCAGAGCTGAGGCGGTCCATGAATTAGCGTGCTAATTTACCTGCTTTCTTAGATTAATTTGTTAATTAATTAGGATTTTGTATTTATTCGGACTGTACTATTTATTTGGACTGTATATTATTTATTCGGACCCTCCGAGCAAGGGCAATATTGTAATAAGTGTGCGTGAGTGTGATGTATGTCTTCTAACCCCACGTCTTTCTCCCTTTTATTTACCAGCTTATGATGGTTAATTTAGGGCATGTTTCAATTAGCATACAGTATGATAGCATGTTTGCATTCATCCATCTGTCTTGTATGCACCGGGCTCGGCGTATCATACTAACTGCATTGTATTTCAATTCCAAGTTGAATACTTGTTAGTTGTAGCATCATCACATGCCATCTTTAGAATAGCCGAGCCTATTGTAATTACATTCTTGCACGTGTGGCATTAGGCATTTCTGTATAGTTAGGATCATGTATGGATTTCTAACATAGCTTTTGTTTTGGCTTGGAGTATTTGGTAAGTTTTATGCTTTAGCATCCTTGCATGTGTGTGAATAACTGCCATGATAGCATGCTTACCATGAAGCTAATTGCTTATGTGATATAACTGCCTGAATGCCTGTGGGTGAAGGTTGGGTTATTTGGATTGGAACAATTCATCAATTATGATTTTTAAGCCCACTTGAGAGTGGCAAATCATCATGTTTTTCTAAGCCCACCTGAGGGTGGCAAATCTACATTTTAGCCTACTTGCGAGTAGCAAACCATTTTCAAAACAAACATGAGATATTTCGTTCCAAATCAGGCGACCCAGTCTATACTTGTATGTTGTGCGCATCACGTAGTAAATCTAGGCTAATAACCGGAATAAGAGCACATAATGTTTTCAAAACTCGATATCATGGTTAGTAGAGGCCGATCTTTGATCGGGCGAGTGGGGGTGTTCATGAAGTGACCTTCCTCAATCGTACCCAAGTTCCCGAGCCGAGGCAACTTTGGTGATGACGGACACGTGGCCTTAAGCACAAGTCAGGGTTTCCTAAATTTCTCTCAAAATAAAATATTTAGGTGGCGACTCTGTATCTAGTAAAGCAGTCCATGTTTGGCACTTCTTTCAAAAAAATCTATTTTCAAAAAAATGATTTGCCGGATTTAGACTATTTGATGAGTCATCGGTCTTGCATTGCACTTTGCGAGATTAGATACAGGACCGTGACACAAATTGAGTCCAAACTGTAGTGAAGCCCGAGGGCGCGTCTACAGCTACTTACTTTGCTCTGCCTTACAAACTCATTGCTGAACTTTGCATCAGTGGCCGACCGGCCAGTGATAAAGGTGGTCTGCCGGTCATGGAAAGTGGTTTGCCGGCCATTGCTGCCCAGTTCTCCTTGCTGCAACAGAGGACAAACAGAGTATATACATGGTATTTCAAGGGTTATCTTCACCACTCACCTCTCATTTTCATAGGAAAATCAAAGGAGTGGCAAGCCTTGGTTCACAAACCATCAATTGATGCAATTTCATTGCATGATGGCATGTGAAACCAAGTGTGCAAGGTCAATAAATGCAAAACAAGACACAAACCTCCTCCCTTTCATGAAAGATCAATGAAAGAAATTGACCTTGGAGACTTGGATCATTTCATCACTAGCAAGTATGAAATGGTCCAAGTTCCATATGTTTAATTAATGTCTGATTGAACACAACAACTTATTATTTTGCTCACTTTTAGTCCCAAGTTTTAGTTACACATTTTACTTTACCAACCATTCTTTAATCCAATTAAGTCCATTGGTGAGTTAAGTCCTCTAAAGGAGAAAGAAGTGCCAAACAAGGGGTAGTTTAAGGCAAGAGAGAGATGCCACGCCGTTGATAATGAACCCCCCCAATAGAGGATTAAACCATTGAGCATGAACCTCAATCTCAAGCTTAAGCAATCCCAAGGTTGAAACAACCCTCAAAGCAAACAAAAAGTCAAGAAATGAGAGAGGTTACAGAGATTGTGCTTGCTAAAATTAAGTGAGAAAAGTACTAAAAACATGTAATTAGCTCAAACAAGTAGTGTCTAAAAGCCTAAAACACTAAGCTTGTGAGGACACTTACACTACAAGCATGCAATACAAGACTCAAATAACTTAATCAACCTAAAACAGAGTTAAAATAGTCCAAATCAGAACCTAAAACATGTTGGAATTAAGCTATAAATGGCTAGAAAAATAAGCTAACACATAGGGCTAACTAGGCTAGCAAACAAGACACAAGGAAGGGAGGCTAACTCCTCCAAATTTGAATTTCAAAACATGATTTTCACCACAGAAATTACTCTGAAATTCAGTATTCAAAAGCCCAAAAAAAGATGGTTTGAAAGTGGGAAACAAAGGTGGAAAGGCCTTACAAACAAGGAATAAAGAAGTGTGAACCACCCTCTAACCTTAAATGGCCTAAACCACAAATTCCAACCCACAAAAACAGAGGTTTTTATAGCCCCAAAACAGTTCAAAAACAGTAGGAGAAGATAGAAAAACATATATGCAAAGCAAGGTAAAAAGGCAATTATTATAGCTCTTGAAGCAAAGATCAATTCTAGGCAACAATTCAAGCCAAAACCAACTTTAATAGCTCTAAGAAGACTTCAAGGAACCTCAGTCCAAAGATGATCAACTTTGATTAAGGAGTAGGCAAAAGTGTAGTGTAAATAGGCTAATGTGTAGAGAATTTGTACAAAGGGAAAAATTTTTGAGTTCAAAATTTTCTAACCTT